CCCCAAAACCCCAAAACCCCAAAACCCCAAAACCCCAAAACCCCTTCTAAGGCAGATTTTATTGAAAACGGTAATTTTAGAGAAGCCTCGCTATAACTTGTTGAAAATTCCGTCTCTCACTTCATCCCACTTGCTCATAATATCTTTATTTTTGTTAAATATTCCATTGTGTGTGATTGGAATTTTAAGACCTCCCCAAGTCTTGAACTTCTTATGCCGTTGCTGCTGCTTGAGGTGAGCAGAAGTCTGGAAGATGCCATGCAAGGTATCCTGAACAGCAGTGACCTTTGGACGATCAAATGAAGTCTTCATTACATCTGAAATGCTCACTGACATTGGCTTGAACAACTCTGGCTCCTTCTTTAGTGAGCTATCAGCTATTTTCTGTAAAATACTGTTCTTTCGTGCTAATTTAGATTTTATTTTAGCTTCTTTATTGAGAGGTTCAGCTACGACTGACTTGTTTACAGTTTTGTTAAGCATAAACCTCTTCAAAGAAGGACTGAGGTCTTCCACATTCTGATAATCCTTTGTTTTGGTCTCAAATGGGCTCTTAGACAACCTATCAATCATCCTAGCTTTTGGAATTGGAGGGAATTTATGATTGTAGCTCATCTGCTCATATTTAAAATTTGGATTATTGTTCAACGATTTCTCCTTAAGGATCTTCGCAGGGGTCACTTCAAAGTGATTTTGGTAAGTCGAGGAGGACCTTTTACCAATTCTGTACCTTGGAATGATATTCCCAGATGCTTGTTCAGCATATCGATTGCTATTCTGCCCAATACTCTTACTTCTGTTAGTAAAATGATCTGAGGCCTTCTCAATAGTTGAAGCCTTCTTAGGACTACTATCATTATATAAACTCCCTGGACGGAGTCTCTTAGGGCTACAGGACGAACCAGACTGGTCATCTATTTCTTGGTCATCTAGAGTCATTAGAAATTGGCTGGAAAAGAATACCTTTGTGTACAGAATAGAGCTCTACTATTCTTCTGAGCTGTGGCATTCTCTATAAAAATTTATAGGTCTTAAATACAGTCAGTTTTTGGTCTGACCCATCGATCGTGTGCTTTTGGAAGCTCCTGCTTGTTTCTGTCTCAAATCGAGCTATAAAGCACCCTTAGACCCTGAGATTGTAGAAGAGGTTGGGAAGCCTGGAAATACTAGATAAATTGCACTTTATGCTCACAACCCCATACAGTAAAAATATAATGCTTTAAATAAGGGATGCACTAGGAACTTTAAGGATGACAGAAAGATCATAGCTGGGAAGTAAATTTACACTTATCGTCTTTTAATTTGGCTGGACTATGGTAAGAGAAATAGCTCTGATTAGTACCAATTTCCATTTGTTATATTTATTTTAGGGCAATTAAATTAATTTGTTTTGGGGTTTTGGGGTTTTGGGGTTTTGGGGTTTTGGGG